ATTATTATTATTATTATTATTATTATTATTATTATTATTATTATTATTATTATTATTATTATTATTATTATTATCCCAAACACCAATCATTGTGTATTGTGACAAGCAAAACCTATGGAGGCTAACCCCAAACTAAGAGAGAGGAAAGGAGAAACAAAGCTTTCAAATTTGCATCACTCCTCTCCTATTCACGGTATTTATTTGCTTTTATTTACTTATTACATTTATAAGCCACCCATCTCTCTCTCTACAAGGTAGTTCACATTAAGCAACAGTCTGCGATGTGTTGGCCCAACTATGCTGTTTACAGTAATCAAACCAGAAAAAGACGGGGGGGAAAAACACCAATCAATTATAAAAAATATAAAATAAAAATCCACCACCCCCAATCCCTGACGTACCATTTCGGCGAACAGAGCCACTCACGGTCACTTCTAGCCCAAGAGTTTGACAGGTATTGTTCTGGACAGCCAAAACATAAAACTTCTTGAGAACCTGGAAGGATAAAGAAGAAAAGATTAGCTTTCTCTCTCCTGAATGATGCTGTTCAGTTGTGCTAGAACAGGGGTGTCAAACTGGATTTCTTCGAGGGCCAGATCAGCATCTTAGCTCTCCTCTGAGGGCTAGCGGGGGAGGGGGACGGAAGCGGGGGGGGGGAGATGGGAAGGACATATGCCTCCCCCATGCCCCATTTTCAGCCTGGACAGCCTCCTGAAACACTTTGCTAGCTAAAACGAGGCACGAGGGCCTCACAAGGCCACCCCGGCCTCCTGCAGCACTGCTGGCCAAAAACGGGCCACGCGGAGGCCTCATGCGGCCCATTTTTGGCCGGCAGAGTGCTGCAGGAGGCCATGGAGGCCAAAAATGGGCCGGGGGGGGGTTGCACATGGCCTCCCCTCGTGGCCCATTTTGGCCGGCAGAGGCCCCGTGGGGTGGTCCTTTGATATTTCTAGGCCAGCCGGGTCAGATTTAAGAACCCTGCGAGCTTTTGGCCAGCGGGCCTTGAGTTTGACACCCCTGTGCTAGAATCATGATTTTCCACCTTGGCAACTATAAGAGGGGTGGACTTCAACTCATGGCAGCATGGCTGGCTGGGGAATTCTGGGAGTTGAAGTCCACCCATCTTAAAGTTGAGAAGCAATTTGATAAAAGGAGGAAGAAACTACTTATTGTTTTAGTTATTCCAAAAGAGGCTCACATATATTAATCCCCACTGCCTCCTTAACTGCTCAGGAACCTAGGTTTCCAACTGTGGCCCACCGGCTTCCCGATATTTGGGTTCTCTGCTGAAGAAAGCTGTGGATTTCTCCTTTAATGTTCATCCGTGGTGGCACCATTTGTACTGTGACCTTTTGGAAACTCTTCCATTAGGATTGGAAATGCATCCAAAATGCAGGGAAACCAAATGTGATGACACAGGGCGTGGCACAAAAGCAACAAAGTCACAAAAAAATAGGCAAAGTCCTTTTAACACCTCCAACTTGGCCCTCAATGTCCGGTTACTATCGGCTGGAGAAAAAAACTCTCCCAAGAACAGTTTTTAAAGGGAAGAAATTCAGTCCGAACCCAAAGTACATCTAAATTATAAATAAAAACCAACACAAACCACGCTGCAGCAATTAACAAGACAGGGCAGGATAAGGAATTGCAGACTTCAAAAGATAACGAAACACACACAGTTGGGAGGACGCCAGAACTCAGATAAGACTTGACAAACCAAAAATAATTCACGCTTTGCTTCCAGCAAGGATCTGTGCGCAAACACCATCTTTATCCTGTTTTCCCAGCTGCAGCTAATGAAGGGAATCAGGGCCTTTTTCTCCCCCGTAACCCACGTTGCTCACTTATCCGTTCCTCCCTGCATGCCCTAGGATGAAGAGGAGGTGGGCCTGGGTCTTCCTCTGAATGCCCAGCCAGACTGTGCCCTTCCCCAGTTTCCTCCACAGCCACCGGAGCCACACTCCCACTCCCTGTCAGCTGTTCCACCTCTCCCTCGGAATCAGATTCCAACAGGGGCATAACACCAAACATCAATCCCATCAAGGGTTGGAAACGTTCCTTCTGCTCTCCTCCAACTAATGTCACACATATTAAGAACCCTTCCGTCTAAACGAAATGCACACTCAACACAAATGCAACAGGTGCAGAGTTTCCTATTACTCTGAGGAAAAATTCTTCAGTAGAATCTAAGTTAAAGGAGACCTACTGTAGAACTAGAAGACAACCATGACCTGGATGACTGAGAGTCTCTACAGACTTGTAGTGTGAGGATCAATCCTAAGTCACTTTTTCAGTACCATTGTAACTTCAAAATGGCCACTAAATGAATGGTTGTAAGTCCGTAACTACCCCTACCTATTTTTCAACCCTGCTGTGAGCCTAAGAGAAAAAGCCCATTACAGGTAGTCCTTGACTTACAACAGTTCATTTAGTGACCATTCAAAGTTATAACGGCACTGAAAAAAGTGACATGACCATTTTTCACACTTATGACCTTTGTAGTGTTCCCATAATCATGTGATCAAAATTCAGATCCTTGGCAACTAGTTCATACTTATGACCGTTTGTCATGCCCCTGTTAGAATCTGACTCTGAGGGAGAGGAGGAACAGCTGACAGGGAATGGGAGTGTGGCTCTAGAGGGTGTAGAGGAAACTGGGAAAAGGCACAGGCCGGCTGGGCATTCAGAGGAAGATCCAGGCTCATCCCCTCTTCATCCTAGGGCATGCAGGGAGGAGCGGATAAGGGAGAAACGTGAATGGCGTGGTCTACGGGTGAGGAAAGGGCCTTGATCCCCTTCATGGGCTGCAGCTGAGAGGACTGGTTAAAAGGACAAACTGCGCATGGTCCAGTGCTGGAAGCAAAGCGTGAAAATATTTCTAGTCTGTCAGTTCTTATCTGAGTTCTGGCGTCCTTCCCAGCGTGTGTATTTCGATATCTGTGGGCATCTTCAAGCCCTTATCCTGCCTTGTCTCATTAATTGCTTCAGTGTGGTTTGTGTTGTTTTTTTCTATTTATAATTTATATGTATTTTGAGTTTGAACGGAATTTCTTCCGCAACTGTTTGTGGGGGAGTTTTTTCTCCAGTCCATGATAATTGAACCTTTGAAGCCAAGTTGAAGGGACTTCACCTGTTTTTGTGTCTTTGTTGCTTTTGTATCCCAATCTGGGTCATCACACTGTTGCTGTATCCTGAAGTCACGGGATCCCCTTTTGCGACCTTCTCACAAGCAGCATCAATGGGGGAAGCCAGGTTCACTTAACAACAGGTTTACTAACTTATCAACTGCAGTCATTCATTTAACAACTGTGGCAAGAAAGGTCACAAAACGTCTCACTTAACATAATTTTTGGGCTCCATTGAAGTTGTAAGTCGAAGACTACCTGTATATCAGTCCCTAACCATAGTAAAAAACTGTAGTGGTCATCATTCAATATTTGTTATAAGAGTAGTATGAAATTACTTACAGTCAGAGTTCCTTTCCCTCTCCCTTCCACTTTTACGTCGATGTCTTTTCCCAAAGAAAACTGAAGAAGAAGAAGAAAAACAGAATTACCTTGTAGAATAACAAAAACAGCATTGCCAAAATTTGACAAACCATGTGCGTACGTATAAATTTCCTTGCAAGCACATAAATACAAAACCTAATTGCAAAACATGTCCCCCTTTTTACACACAATGAATTGCAGGATCTGCCATCTGAATGTTGCTATCAATATCTTTTAAATCAGGGTTTTTCAAAAGTTGGCAACTGAATATGAGTTGGAAGCAGAGGTGGCATTCAGCAGCTTCTGACCAGTTCTGGAGAACCGGTAGTGGAAATTTTGAGTAGTTTGGAGAATTGGCAAATCCCACCTCTGACTGGCCCCGCCCCCATCTATTCTCCGCCTCCCGAGTCCCAGCTGATCCGCTGGGTCTTCTTTGGTTGCCCTGCACAGGAGAACGGAGCTGAAAAGCAGGTTAGTGGGGTGAGGAGGGAATGGGATTTTGCAGTAACCTTCCCCTGCCATACCCACCAATCCATGCCCACCAAGTCACGCCAGGCCCACAGAATCAGTACTAAAAAAATTTTGAATCCCACCACTGGGAAGGGTCCTTGGACAGTAGAAAGGTCTGGATGGGTTTATACCCACTTGCTCATTCCATTCCTCATCATATAAACCGCCATGTCAACATGAGTACCTGAAGCTCTTCCTGGATTGGATCATTGGATCTTCCAAAAGAAATCCGAATAGGCAAGTGTTTTCCAGGGACCGTAAGAGAAACTGTTAGCTCGTTCCCTTCTTCTTTGAAAGTGCTGATCCAGTAGGAGGAAAGGGCTTCCAAAGCCACCACTGTGTCCTGGGAAGAGAAGCCACCATAGAAATCAGAACTCTGGCGCGATTTTGGAGAACCCACATAAGAAAACTCACAATCACCTATCCTTCACTTTCTAGGTCGGGGTGTCAAACTCAAGGCCCATATGCCGGAACTGGCCCACAGGGTGCTTAAATCTGGTTGTGCTGTCCCAGCCAGTCTATGGGAATTGGATAATTACTTAGGAATTATGAGCTGTCCCCTTAAGGGAATGCATCATGGGAAATATAAAGGTATCATGGGAAATGTAGTCCATGTCACGTGACCACTTCTGTAATCCCGATTGGTCACTAGTTTGACCCTCAATGGGTTGGGGGAGTTTTCCTCACTTTTGCCTGAACTCCCTAACTCGTGGCAGCTGCTTTCTATCGCTACGAGATGGGTTAGGAGATAACCATCTTTTACTACAACGCAGATATACAAAGGATTGGTCATTAAAGAAGAACTTTATCACAAATGTGAGTTATGAGGATACCTGATGAACCAATAAATGTACTTTGTTATGGACGTCTTGTTGAGTTTATCTATCTGCATCTGCACAGCTTAAAAATCCACTACTGTGCAGAATACAGAAAACTGGTCCTCGGGACTGCCCTGGAAACAGCGAAGGACCAGCCCGCAGTGCCTCTGCCAGCAAAAGGAGGCCATCCCAGCTGAAAATGGAGCTGGGGGGGGGGGTGTCTGAGCCACCATAGGTGCCCCAGACATGAGTAACATTGACCTAGCCCCGCCCACCCCAGCCCCCTGAGGTCAAAAATAACCCTGATGTGTCCTGTTCTAGGACATCTGTATTTTGTGAGGCCCACGTTTATCGTATCTCTTTTTGTATCCTTCTGCAAATTCCTGAAGATTTGTATGCATTTGTTGACCTACCAAAATCCAATTAAATGCTCAGAATTCATGTCTCTCTTAGATTTAGACTTAGAATAACTTTATGGTCACTTTGAATGTGCACTAATCAGCATGCATTAAAATGAAATCTCATTGCATACAGCTCTCAAAGGGTCTCCCAATATACACTATGTAAACATGACAAGATAAATAAATAAATACAAAATTATGCATATACCCACATATATTATATGACACAATGAAACAACAAAGTCTAGTCCAGATGTATACATGTCCATGGCAAGAGAAACAAATCTTGCAAGCTTACCAGGTGGATGGCATAGGGAACAAAGCTGTTACAGAATCTGGTAGTCCGGTTAGAAATACTTCGAAACCTCCTCCCAGAGGGGACCAACAGAAACTGACTGTAAAGTGGCCATGTGGGATCATTCAGGATACCACGTATATAAGCGGTAGGTGCTTAGAGCTCAAAGCACTGTTAGAGATCCTACACATCCACTTCACTGTCTGTTTCTGTTGCTCCCTTCTGGGAGGAGGTTTCTAAGGATTTCTAGCAGGACTACCAGATTCTATAACAGCTTTTTTCCCTATGCCATCCGTCTGGTAAACTCGCAAGATTCCTTTTTCTCGCCATGTACATGTATACATCTGAACTAGACTGTGTTGTTTCTCCGTGTCCTATAATATAGGTGGGTATATGCATGATTTTGTATTTATTTATTTATTTTGTCATGTTTATGTAGTGTATATTGGAGGTGGAGACCCTTTGAGAGCTGTCTGCAACAAAATTTCATCTTAATGTATGCATACATTCAAGGTGACAATAAATATATTGTACTTTCTATTCTATTCTATTCTATTCTATTCTATTCTATTCTATTCTATTC